GAGTGTCAGAGGTGTGCCTGGGGTGTCTGGGGTGTGCCTGAGTGTCAGAGGTGTACCTGGGAGTGTCAGGGTTTGCCTGGAGTGTCTGGGGGTGTGCCTGGGGAGTGTCTGGGGTGTGCCTGGGGTGTCAGAGGTGTGCCTGGGAGTGTCAGAGGTGTGCCTGGGGAGTGTCAGAGGTATGCCTGGGAGTATCAGAGGTGTACCTGGGGGTGTCAGAGGTGTGCAGGGAGTGTCAGAGGTATGCCTGGAGTGTCAGAGGTGTGCCAGGGGGTGTCAGAGGTATGCCTGGGGTGTCAGGGTATGTACCTGGGGAGTGTCAGGTGTGCCTGGGGTGTCGGTGGTGTGCCTGGAAATGTCGGAGCTGTACCTGGGAGTGTCAGAGGTGTACCTGGGGTGTCAGAGGTGTGCCTGGGAGTGTCAGAGGTGTACCTGGGGTGTCAGAGGTGTGCCTGGGGGTGTCAGAGGTGTACCTGGGAGTGTCAGAGGTGTGTGCCTGGGAGTGTCAGAGGTGTGCCTGGGAGTGTCAGAGGTGTGCCTGGGAGTGTCAGAGGTGTGCCTGGGGTGTCAGAGGTGTGCACAAGTGTCAGAGGTGTGCCTGGGGTGTCTGAGTGTGCCTGGGGTGTCTGGTGTGCCTGGGGGTGTCTGAGGTGTGCCTGGGTGTCTGGGGTGTGCCTGGGAGTGTCTGGGGTGTGCCTGGGGTGTCAGGGGTGTGCCTGGGTGTCTGGGGTGGCCTGGGAGTGTCTGAGGTGTGCCTGGGGTGTCTCGGGGTGTGCCTGGGGAGTGTCTGAGGTGTGCCTGGGGTGTCTGAGGTGTGCCTGGGGTGTCTGAGGTGTGCCTGGGTGTCTGGGGTGTGCCTGGGGGTGTCAGAGAGAATCCAGGGAGTGTCAGGGAGTACTGGGGAGTATCAGGAGGTGTACCTGGGAGTGTCAGAGGTTTACCTGGGAGTGTCAAAGTTGTGCCTGGGGTGTCGGAGGTGTACCTGGGAATATCGGGAGGTGTGCCTGGGGTGCAGAGAGGAGGTGTACCTGGGAGTGTCGGAGGTTTGACCTGGGAGTGTCACAGGTGTGCCTGGGGAGTGTCAGAGGTGTGCCAGGGGAGTGTCAGTGGTGTACTGGGAGTGTCATTGGTGTACCTGGGAGTGTTGGGGGTGTACCTGGAATGGTCAGGGGTGTACCTGGGTGACAGATGTGTGCCTGGGGAGTGTCTGAAGTGTGCCTGGGATTGTCAGAGGTGTGCCTGGGTGTCAGGGGGTGTACCTGGGAGTGTCAGGGGTGTACCTGGGTTTCAGCGGTGTGCCTGGGAGTATCAGAGGTGTACCTGGGAGGTCTGAGGTGTACCTGGATATGTCTGAGGTGTACATGGAGTGTCAAGGTGTATCTGGGGGTGTCAGGGTGTGCCTGGGAGTGTCAGAGGTATACCTGGGGCATGTCAGGAGGTGTGCCTGGGAGTGTCAGAGGTGTGCAGGGAGTATCAGAGTATACCTGGAGTGTCAGAGGTGTGCCTGGGAGTCTCAGAGGTGTGCAGGGGTGTCAGGGGGTGTCCTGGGAGTGTCAGGGTGTTCGAGGTGTCAGAGGTGTGCCTCAGAGTGTCAGAGGTGTGTTGGGGGTGTCAGAGGTGTGCCTGGGGTGTCAGAGGTGTGCCTGGGTGTCAGAGTTGTGCCTGGGAGTGTCAGAGGTGTGCCTGGGAGTATCAGAGGTGTACCTGGGGTGTCAGGGGTGTACCTGGGGTGTCATAGGTGTGCATGGGGGTGTCAGAGGTGTACCTGGGGTGTCAGAGGTGTACCTGGTGAGTGTCAGTGGTGTTGGGTGTGCCTGAGGTGTCGGGGTGTGCCTGGGAGTGTCTGGGGTGTACCTGGGGTGTCAGAGGTGTGCCTGTGGTGTCTGTGGTGTACCTGGGGTGTCAGAGGTGTGCTTGGTAGTGTCAGTGGTGTGCCTGGGGTTGTCAGAGGTGTGCCTGGGAGTGTCAGGGTTGTACCTGGGGTTGTCAGGGTTGTGGGAGTGTCAGAGGTGTCTGGGGAGTGTCAGAGGTGTGCCTGGGGAGTGTCAGAGGTGTACCTGGGAGTGTCAGAGGTGTGCCTGGGGTGTCAGAGGTGTGCCTGGGGTGTCAGAGGTGTGCCTCGGGTGTCAGGTATACCAGCAATACATGTAGAGACAGTGCAAACTAGAGACAGTGCAGGTGTAACAATGACTAGAGACGGTGCAGATTATACAAACTGAGACGGTACATGCAAACTATTGACTGGAGACGGTACGGAGTTATGCAAAACGTGATGGGGACAGTACTGGTATACGACAATGACTGAGAGACGGTACATGTATGGGAAACGTGACAAGAGACAGTACTGAATTATCCTGTAAACAATGACTGAGACGGTGCAGGTGCACAGGCAGGCTGCTAGACATTTTTGGGTGGGAACAGTGGCTGGGACGGTGCAGGTGCTGGCAGTGGGGACGGTGCAGTTGTGTGGAGCTGGGGACGGTGGGGTGTGCAGGCCAGTGGGCTGGGGACGGTGCAGTTGTGCAGGTGTTGGGGGACGGTGGGGTGTGCAGACGTGGGGACGGTGAGGGGGTTGTGCAGACTGTTGTTGGGGACGGTGCTGCAGATGTGCAGGCAACTGGGACGGTGCAGGGTGCAGGAGCTGTTGGGCCAGGGACGGTGCAGGTTGTGCAGACGGTGACTGGGGACGGTTGCAGATTGTGCAGACCATTGGGCTGGGGACGGTTGCAGATGTGGAGCCAGTGGGCTGGGACGGTGCAGATTTGTGCTTGGTGACTGGGGAGACGGTGCAGATTGTACAGGCTGGGGACGGTGCAGATGTGCAGGCCAGTGGAGCTGGGACGGTGCAGATGTGCAGAATATTGACTGGGACGGTGCAGACGTGCTAACTGCAGGACAGTGCAGATTGTACAGGCAGTGGAGCTGGGACGGTGCAGATTGTGCAGACGGTGAGCTGGGGACGGTGGGTTGTACAGCAGTGGGCTGGGGACGGTGCAGTTGTGCTAGCAGTGGATGGGGACGGTGCAGGTGTGCAGGCAGTGACTGGGGGACGGTGCAGTTGTGTACCACAGACAGTGATTGGGGACGGTGCAGTTATACCAGACAGTAGGTTAGGACGGTGCAGGTTATGCAAACAGTGTTGGGACGGTGCAGACATGCTAACAATGACTGGGACGGTACGGGTATGCAAACCAAATTTAGAGACAGTACAGGTATACAAACAACGACTAGAGACAGTACAGGTATACAAAACAATGACTAAGAGACAGTACAGGTATACTAACAATGACTAGAGACAGTACAGGTATACAAACAATGACTAAGACAGTACAGGTATACAAACAGCTAGAAGACAGTACAGGCATACAAACAATGACTAGAGACAGTACAGGTATACTAACAATGACTAGAGACAGTACAGGTACAGAAACAATGACAAGAGACAGTACAGGTATACAAACAACGACTAGAGACAGTACAGGTATACAAACAATGACTAGAGACAGTACAGGTATACTAACAATGACTAGAGACAGTACAGGTATACAAACAATGACTAGAGACAGTACAGGTATACAAACAATGACTAGAGACAGTACAGGCATACAAACAATGACTAGAGACAGTACAGGTATACTAACAATGACTAGAGACAGTACAGGTATACAAACAATGACTAGAGACAGTACAGGTATACAAACAATGACTAGAGACAGTACAGGTATACAAACAATGACTAGAGACAGTACAGGTATACAAACAATGATTAGAGACAGTACAGGTATAGAAACAATGACTAGAGACAGTACAGGTATACTAACAATGACTAGAGACAGTACAGGTATACAAACAATGACTAGAGACAGTACAGGTATACAAACAATGACTAGAGACAGTACAGGTATACAAACAATGACTAGAGACAGTACAGGTATACAAACAATGACTAAAGACAGTACATGTATAGAAACAATGACAAGAGACAGTACAGGTATACAAACAATGACTAGAGACAGTACAGGTACACAAACAACGACTATAGACATTACAGGTATAGAAACAATGACTAGAGACAGTACAGGTATACTAACAATGACTAGAGACAGTACAGGTATACAAACAATGACTAGAGACAGTACAGGTATACAAACAATGACTAGAGACAGTACAGGTATACAAACAATGACTAGAGACAGTAAAGGTATACAAACAATGACTAGAGACAGTAAAGTTATACAAACAATGACTAGAGACAGTACAGGTATACAAACAACGACTAGAGACAGTACAGGTACAGAAACAATGACAAGAGACAGTACAGGTATACAAACAATGACTAGAGACAGTACAGGTATACAAACAATGACTAGAGACAGTACAGGTATACAAACAATGACTAGAGACAGTACAGGTACACAAACAACGACTATAGACATTACAGGTATAGAAACAATGACTAGAGACAGTACAGGTATACTAACCATGACAAGAGACAGTACAGGTATACAAACAACGACTAGAGACAGTACAGGTATACAAACAATGACTAGAGACAGTACAGGTATACTAACAATGACTAGAGACAGTACAGATATACTAACAATGACTAGAGACAGTACAGGTATACAAACAATGACTAGAGACAGTACAGGTATACAAACAATGACTAGAGACAGTACAGGTATACAAACAATGACTAGAGACAGTACAGGTATAGAAGCAATGACAGAGACAATTACAGGTAGCACAAACAATGACTAGAGACGAAGTACAGGTACACAAACAACGACTATAGACATTACAGGTAGCAAAACAATGACTAGAGACAGTACAGGTATACTAACAATATTGACTAGAACAGTACAGGTATACAAACGGCGTAGCTAGAGACAGTACAGGTATACAAACAATGACTAGAGACAGTACAGGTATACAAACAATGACTAGAGACAGTAAAGGTATACAAACAATGACTAGAGACAGTACAGGTATACAAACAATGACTAGAGAGAGTACAGGTGTAGCAACAGTGGCTGGGGACGGTGCAGTTGTACAGGCAGAGGACGGTGGAGGTGTGTAAGACGGTAGTGGGGACGGTGCAGTTGTGCAGACGGTGAGCTGGGACGGTGAGATTGTGCAGACGGTAGATGGGGACGTTGAGGGTGTGGGCAGTGGAGCTGGGACGGTGCAGTTGTCTGAACAGGCTGGGGACGGTTGCTTGGTTGCTTGGAACAGTGACCCAGGGATGGGGTGGCAGTTGTGCAGACGGTGATTTGGGGACGGTGCAAGTTGTGGAGCCATTGATTGGGACGGTGCAGGTGTGCAGGTGTTGACTGGGGACGGTGCGGGTGCTGGAGCCAGCGGGCTGTGGACGTTGCGGGTGTGGGGAGCAGTGACTGGGACCCGGTGCAGGTGTGCCTAGCAGTGACGGAGACGGTGCAGGTGTGAACGGCAGACTGAGACGGTGCAGATTGTACTTCAACAGTGGGGACGGTGCAGTTGCAGGAACAGTGACCAGGGACGGTGCAGATGGCGCAGACGGTGACTGGGGACGGTGCAGATGTGCAGACGGTGGGCTGGGACGGTGCGGTTGTGCAGACGGTGGGCTGGGGACGGTGCTGGTTGTGCAGGCCAGTGACTGGGACGGTGCAGGTTGTGCGACTGGTGACTGGGACGGTGCGGGTTGTAGAACTGTGGAGCTGGGACCGGTGCAGGTGTGCTGTGGTGACTGGGGACGGTGCAGATGTGCTAGCAGTATTGGGACGGTGCAGGTGTGAGAGCAGTGACGAGGGGACCCGGTGCAGATTATGCAAACCAGTGACTGGGGACCCCAGTGCAGGTGTACAAACAATGACTAGGACCAGTACAGGTGTACAGAGCAATGTTAGAGACAGGGCTGGAGTGGAAACCAGAGCATGGGCTAGAGACGGTGCAGATTGTACAGACAGTGACTGGGGTGCAGATTTGCAGAACAGCTGACCAAGAGACGGTACCCAGATGTCTGGAAAACTGACGAGCTAGGACGGTGCAGATTTATACAAGGCAATGACTGGAGACGGTGCAGATATGCTAACAGTGACTGAGACAGTTGCGGGTATACAGAGCAATGACTAGAGACAGTACAGGTATACAGAGCAATGACTAGAGACAGTACGAATTATACAAACAATGACTAGAGACAGTACAGGTATACAAACAATGACTAGAACATTTGGTATACAAACAATGACTAGAGACAGTACAGGTATACAAACAATGACTAGGAGACAGTACAGGTATACTAACAATGACTAGAAGAAGTGCAGGTGTGCAAGCAATGATTAGAGACAGTGCAGGTATGAGGCAATGGGCTGGGGAGACGGTGCAGGTGTACTAACAATGGGCTGGGAGACGGTGCAGGTACAGGCAATGGGACAGTGCATGTGCGACAGTGATGGGATTGCAGGTTGTGCTAAACAGTGATGGGAAGTACGGTGCAGATTGTGATAGTGACTGGGGGAGGTGGATTGTGCAGGAATGGGCTGGGGGTGCAGATTGTGCAAGGTGACTGGAGACTGGTGCAGATGATACAGACGGTGGAGCCCAGGGACGGTGCAGATTGTGCAGAGCAGTGACTGGGACGGTGCGGTTGTGGGGCAGTGACTGGGACGGTGCGGTTTTGCGGCAGTGACTGGGACGGTTGCAGTTGTGGGACAGTGTGGGACGGTGCGGGTGTGGCTGTGACTGGGGACGGTGCAGATTGTGCAGGCAGTGCTGGGACAGTGCAGGTGTGCTGGCAGTGGTGGGGACGGTGCAGTTGTGGAACAGTGTTTGGACGGTGCTGTTGTGGGAGCAGTGGCTGGGACGGTGTAGTTGTGCAGACGGTGGGGGACAGTGTGGTTGTGCTGAGCAGTGGGCTGGGACGGTGCAGATTTGTGCTGGCATGATGGGACGGTGCGGGTGTGCAGGCAGTAGATGGGACGGTGCAGTTGTGCAGGCCAGTGATGGGACGGTGCCCAGGTTGTACCAGGCCAGTGGAGCTGGGACGGTGCAGATTGTGCAGAATGATGGGCTGGGACAGTGCAGATTGTATATAGTGTGGGACAGTGCAGTTGTGTATAGGGTGGGCTGGGGGACAGTGCAGGTGTGTAGGGTGGGGTGGTACGGTGTAGACATTCTGGTGTCTGGGGACAGTGCAGATTTGCAGGGTGGTGGGACAGAACATGTGTGGGTGGGGACGGTGCAGTGTGGGGCAGTGGGTGGGGACGGTGAGTTGTGCAGATTGTGGGGGGGGACGGTGCAGTTGTGATGAATTTGGGGACGGTGCAGTTGTGTAGGTGGGGACGGTGCAGTTGTGTAGAGTGGATGGGGACGGTGCAGTTGTGTGGTGGTGTGGGATGGTGCAGTTGTGTGAGAGTTGGTGGGACGGTGCAGGTTGTGTAGAGATTGGGGACGGTGCAGTTGTGTAAGTGTGGGACGGTTGCGGTTTGTGGTATTTGGGGACGGTGCAGATTTTGCTGGGTGGGACGGTGCAGGGTGTGGAGCAGTTATGGGGACGGTGCAGGTTTGTAGGGTGGGACTGGTGCAGATTGTATAGGTGGTGGGGACAGTTTTTGGTTGTAGAGAGCAGTTAGTTAGTTATGTGAGGTTGGGAATGACGTGGGGTGTGATGGTGCATTTGTGGATGCAGTGATTGGGGACGGTGGGTTGTAGGTGTTGGGGACGGTGCAGTTGTAGGGTGGGGACGGTGCGGTTGTGATAGTGGGTGGGGACGGTGCAGATTGTGCTGTGGTAGGCTGGAGGGTGCAGATTGTGCAGACAGTGGGCCCCAAGTTGGTGCTGGTGTGCTAACCCAGTGATGGAGGACGGTGCAGATTGTGGGGAGCAGTGATGGGACGGTGCAGGGTGTGGAAACAGTGACTGGGGACAGTGCAGATATGCTGTGTGACTGGGGACAGTGCAGATTATGCAAACCAGTGACTGGGGACAATTGCAGATTATGCTAACAGTGACTCAGGACAGTGCAGATTGTAGAACAATGACAAGGAGACGGTGCAGGGCATGCTAACGGTGACTGAGACAGTGCAGATGTACAGGCAATTTTAGAGACAGAATTGCAGGTATGCAAGCAAGTGACTAGGACGGTGCAGGTGTGCAGGCAATGGGCTGGGACGGTGCAGGTGTGCAGAGCAGTGACTGGGACGGTGCAGATTGTACAGACAAGTAGGCTGGGGACAGTACGGTGTACAGACCAGTGACTGGAGACAGTGCAGTTATGCAAACAATGACTGAGACGGTACAGGTATGCTAACAATGATGGAGACAGTACAGGTGTATAGAAACAATGACTAGAGAGACAGTGGGTATGCAAACAATGATCTATAGACATTACAGGTGTAGAGAGCAATGACTAGAGACAATTGCTGGTATGATAACAATGACTGTGGTGTTTGTGTTGGGTGGTGTTTTGAGAGACAGTGCAGATTCTTTAACAATGACTATGAGACATTGCGGGTGTAGAACAATGACTAGAGACGGTACGGTGTATAGAGCAATGACTGTGGACATTGCGTTTATCAGAAGTAATGTTCAGAGACAATTTGGTGTATGATAACAGTGAGCTATGAGACGTACTGGTTATGCTAACAATGGGCTATAGACATTGCAGGTATGGTAACAATGACTAGAGACAGTACTGGTATGGGAAACAATGACTAGAGACAGTGCAAGGTATAGAAACGTGACTAGAGACAGTACAGGTATAGAAACAATGACTGTAGACATTAGAGGTATACAAACAATGACTAGAGAGAATGTAAGTTATGCTAACAATGACTGAGACAGTTACAGGTATACAAACAATGACTAGAGAGTACAATTGTATAAACAATGACTAGAGACAGTTTGGGTATAGAAACATTGGTGGGGTGGGTGTGGTGTGGGGTGGTGTTATGAGCTAGGAGACAGTGCAGGTGTACTAGCAATGACTGAGATGGTGCAGATTGTGCAGGCAATGACTAGAGGACGGTTCAGGTGTACAGGCAATGACTGAGACAGTGCAGTTATGCTAACAGTGACTGAGACAGTACAGATTATAGAAACAATGACTAAGGAACAGTTGAAATTATGCAAAGCAATGACTAGAGACAGTACAGGTATACAAGCAATGACTAGAGACAGTTTGGGTATAGAAACAATGACTAGGACAGTGCAATTGTACAAACAATGACTAGAGACAGTACAGGTATACTAACAATGACTAGAGACAGTACAGGTATACAAACAATGACTAGAGACAGTACAGGTATACTAACAATGACTAGAGACAGTACAGGTATACTAACAATGACTAGAGACAGTACAGGTATAGAAACAATGACAAGAGACAGTACAGGTATACAAACAATGACTAGAGACAGTACAGGTATACAAACAATGACTAGAGACAGTACAGGTATAGAAACAATGACTAGAGACAGTACAGGTAGACAAACAATGACTAGAGACAGTACAGGTATACAAACAATGACTAGAGACAGTACAGGTATACAAACAATGACTAGAGACAGTACAGGTATAGAAACAATGACTAGAGACAGTACAGGTATAGAAACAATGACTAGAGACAGTACAGGTAAACAAACAATGACTAGAGACAGTACAGGTATACAAACAATGACTAGAGACAGTACAGGTATAGAAACAATGACTAGAGACAGTACAGGTATAGAAACAATGACTAGAGACAGTACAGGTATAGAAACAATGACTAGAGACAGTACAGGTATAGAAACAATGACTAGAGACAGTACAAGTATACAAACTATTACGAACCACGCCATCTATTGTGTCATGATCTAACTACCCAGCACTACCGAGCAACGCCATCTAGGGACGCGACCCGAGTATGACTAGTCTTAGTCACCACTCCGGGTTTCCTTTCTCCATATCCTGGTTGTTGCTCACCTCCTCCAACTCTTCCTCATCAGCTCCGGATCGAGGAGAGTTCAGTTCACTCTGGGAAGTGACCACACTTGGATTACCTATCCTGGAAACCTACATCACAGTGACTACCTACCATCTTCTTCAATACTCAGCCCTACTCGTCAGACACTTCAGCACCGCACTTGAGTATTGTAACCCTATATTACCTCCCACCTCCACTTGCTTCAGATTGTTGTATGTTGTATAAATATGTATATACGTTTAAGCCAATGTTGCGTATGTTTAAGTTAAGTATGGTTAAGGGTAAATTATAGAAAGCTGGATATTTTGTTAAGGAATTTATTGTACTTTATTATACACAACAAAAACTCTCATCCTTTGTCTACCCTTTTATAGTCCGATTGTTTTTGTTTGTTAAGTTTTTTTATTGTTGTTGCCTGTTGGGATCTGGGTAGACTTTTAACTATATTCTAAATCCCCAACTCGTAACAAATGGCGACCGTGACAGGACCCGTCCTTAAGTGCCATATTTCTTCCCCCCTTGTTACTCCTTGTTAATTATTCCTCCCACTCACTTTTGTTCACAATTGCTTTACGGTGGTTTAAAGTTTCCTTCATATGTGTGTGCATATATTGGTATTATCGTACAGTAAGAGTGACAGCCGTAGGATATTAGATTCCAAGTGTCATAAGGCTTACCTGTTATTACACGTGGCAGTCGTGTAGTAAGTCTTATCGAGTGTAGGGAAGAATCCGGATCTGTTTAATGCCGTACCTCACTCCAGAGTAGGCTGTTCCATAGTCACTAGTTTAGGGTGAAGTGATATCTTGGGACGCCCCGCTCTACCAGGACCCCATAATTATAAAGCCTCCATTATTGTTCTTCTCATTATCTCATTCAAATAAATCGTCACTCAGGGTTGTTAATCCGGATCTTTATATTAATGCCGTAATACGCCCTTCCTCTTTCAAGTATATCAGGTTGTTAATCCGGATCTTTATATTAACCGTCTTTCTTATCCTTATCTAAGGATCTTCTCAGAAGAACAATAATCATAAGTGTAATTTCCCTAGGTATAACTTGGTTAGTTTCCGGGACTTTCTGGTTATCCACTGCCGTGATATTTTCTAGGGTAATCCACTTATCTTATCTTTTGACCATTAGTTAATTTATCCTATTTTTCTTAACAATGGCCACCTCAGGTTTTGATCTCCAGGATTTTATTGAAAATCCTTCCGTAGCTAAATTACGTTGTTAATATCCTGAAGAAAGAATGGAAAGAAATAGCCAACTATTACAATATCCCATTTTCACAGCAACTGACTAAGGAAATGTTAAAAAATCATGTGATTGAAGTGTTGGTTCAACAAGAAGTTTTAAAAGAATCCGCTGTTGACAGATTAACGCCCATGTCCAAGAAACTTCAACCACTATCCACCACCCCTCCTCACTCAGAAGTTGCCTCAGGTCTGGCTAGCCCTCAAGAAGAAACACAACGAATAGACGCCTTAGAACTAGAACGAGCTAGGTTCGAGTTCCAAATCAAAATGAAAGAACTCGAGTTGGAACAGGCCAAGTTGGAGCAGCAGGAAAAGTTGGAACAGGCCAAGTTGGAACAGGCCAAGTTGGAGCACAAGTTGGAGCATGAAGAAAAGTTGGAACAGGCCAAGTTAGAACAGGCCAAGTTGGAGCATGAGGAAATGATGGAACGGGCCAAGTTGGAGCAGGAGGTTAGACTGAAAGAACTACAGGTAAGAGAGATAGAAGTCACCTTAACATCGGAGTTTAAATCAAAAGAAGTGGCATTAAGAGAGAAACTAGCTGCTTTTAACCCTGCTACTGCTTCTTCCCTTGTTCCCGGGTTTGATGAATCCGATATGGACGGGTCATTTAGGACTTTTGAGAAAATAGCCGGGAAGAATGAGTGGCCAAAGGACCAGTGGGTGTCAGGTGTTAGTTCCTAAATTATATGGTAAGGCTCGTAGAGTTTATAACTGTTTAGACCAGACTGATGACTATGATAACGTAAAAAAGAATATCCTCACCTCTTATGCTATCACGCCAGATGGATACCGGCAGAAGTTTCGTAAACTAACCAAACCATTT